TTTTTTTTTTTTTTTTTTTGAAATGGAGTCTCGCTCAGTTGCCCAAGGTGGAGTGCAGTGGCTCAATCTCGCTCACTGCAAGCTCTGCCTCCCGGGTTCAAGCGATTCTGCTGCCTCAGCCTTCTGAGTAGCTGCTACAGGCCTGTACCACCACGCCCCGCTATTTTTAGTAGAGATGAGGTTTCACAATGTTGGTGAGGCTAGTCTCAAACCCCGGACTTCGTGATCCGCCCGCCTCAGCTTCCTAAAGTGCTGAGATTAAAGGCGTGAGCCACTGCGCTCGGCCGATTTTTTGTATTTTTAGTAGCGATGAGGTTTCACCATGTTGGCCAGGCTGGTTTCGAACTCCTGACCTCAACTGATCCACCCGCTTCAGCCTCCCAGGGTGCTAAGATTACGGGCGTGAGCCACCACGCCCAGCCGCCATGATTCCTTTATTCGTTTAGAAAAGTTGCTTTCCACTCAGGGGTTGTGAAGATTTAGCGATCATCACCTGTGTCCTGGGCTTTAACAAAACCTACCTGTCTATTTAGATTCTGTAACACATCAAGCAGCCAGTTATTCGAAACAGTATCTCTGAGGGAATAAAAAAACACAACATTATCTCTGTCCCTGGCTGAACAGACAAGTTTCATTCAGAAGCTAAACATGCTCAAAAACAAACAGTTTCCCTTGAAAATCCTGTTTTGCTGTTGGGACAAATGTTAACACATAACATTTCTTTGGTAACTAACCAGGTACTTTTTTTGTGTAAATGACTATAACTAGTAGCTGTAACTAAAACCAGATACAGTGTTGGAGCCCAATAAAATAAGAATCTATAACAGGCCTGCAAGCCCTAATCAGCCAGCCTGTTTTGTATACAGCCTCTCCAGCTAAGAATGATTTTTATATTGTTAAAAGGTTTAAAAGCAGCAAGGGGAGGAGCATGAATGTGTGACAGTGACTTTATGTTGCCCACAAATCCCAAAATATTTACTATGTGGTCCTTTATAGAAAAAGTTTGCTCACCTGTAATCCCAGCACTTTGGGAGGGCAAGGCAGTGGGATCACTTGAGGTCAGGAGTTTGAGACCAGCCTGGCCAACATTGTGAAAATCTGTCTCTATTAAAAAAAATACAAAAATTAGCCAGGTATGGTGGTGCACTGTAATCCCAGCTACTCAGGAGGCTGAGGCAGGAGAATCGCTTGAACCTGGGAGGCAGAGGAGGCTGCAGTGAGCCGAGATTGTGCCACTGCACTCCAGCCTGGGAGACAGAGTGAAATCCTGTCTGGGGAAAAAAAAAAAAAAAAAAAAAAAAGCAATGGAAAAAAGTTTGCTGACCTGCAATAAAAGTACTACACATTCTGTAAGAGAAAGAAGGGAAAGATGATGGGAATAGAGTTATTTCCTTTAACTATTAACATTCAGACTAAAGAGTATACAATGAAAGAAAAAAAGAAAAAGAAAAAAAAATTTTTTTAAAGAATATACAATGATATAGGAACTGCTCTGGACATCTTCCTAAAACCTAGGGAAAAAAAAAATCAAGATCACTTTTTAAAGAACCTATGAAACAAGTCTTCAGAGAACTTATCAATATAACTAATTAGGGCTATATACAAATATTAACTTATCTTTGTGGCATTTTACAGTTTACAAAGTACTTATAAGCACATTATCTCAATTTCAGGCTGACATTTCTGTGAAGCAGCTGCAGGTCAAAAATCATTTTTTTGTTGTTACTCTTCTGCTTTGCCTGAGACAGGGTCTCACTCTGTTGTGCAGCGTGAAGTGCAGTGGTGCAATCATAGCTCACTGCAGCCATGATGTTGGGCCCAGGTGATCCTCCCACATCAGCCTCCTGAGTAGCTGGGACTACAGGCGCATGCCATGCAACCACACCTG